GGAATTAAACCAGGTTCCCATTAGTGATGCATGGTATATATATACCATGGAATATACGCAGCCATAAAAAAGAACAAAATCATGTCCTTTGTAGCAACATGAACTAATAGTGGGGGGATGTAGGTAGAGTGGCAAGGGTTGAAAAACTAACTGTTGCATACTATTTTCAGTACCTAGGTGATGGTATTATTCATACCTCACACGTCAGAATCATACATTTATTCAGGTGACACACTTGCACATGTGCTCCTTGAATCTAAAATAAAAGTTGAACAAATAGAGTGCTTCCACAAAAGTAAAAATGCTACAACCATCATTATTTAGTTCTTTATGTACTATTTTTAGAGTCAGATTTCAATACACCCTAAATATGTTGTAATGGCTACATCTTCATATGGAGCTACAGAGTTGTTTTATTATTCTTAGTAATTAGGGCATATCTCTATAACACATTGGCAAAATCAGCAATTAATACCTTTGTATTGTATTGGTGTTGTACTTTATTGTATCAATACCAAAATTAGAAATCAATACCTTTTAATATGTCTGTGTGGATAAACCGTACTTGACAAACTCCACTAAAAATTATCATTAGCATGTATATCAGTTGGCTATTTCCATAGCAGTCCTGCATAACAAACCACTCCTACACTTCTTAGTGTCTTAAATGGACAATTATTTTATCCATGCTTACCAATCTGCAAGTTGGTTGTTGGTCAAATGATCTAGGCTGGATGTTCCTGGGCTTCATTCTAAACTTCAGATTGAGTTCAGGACTGTTCTACCTGCCCCAATTCCTCCTCTCACACTCTCTTTCTCTTTCCCATTAATTGGCTGAGAGACAGAACAGGTGAAATCTAATCAGTGGTGAAACATGTTGCTTTCTCTACCACCAGAAAGATGTTTTTAGTAATGATGTTAATATGGTGATCTTCTAGGACTGTGGGAATTCTTTGCATAATTTTACCTGAACATTTTTCATGCATTTTCATAGTGACTTTGACTGTATCTTTCTATGCCTCCTGAGCCTTTGCCAGGAGACTGCAAATAAAACAGAGCTTTTTTTTTTTTTTTTTTTTTAAATAAGCAAATATACCTCAAAATGTCTTATTTTAGGCCTGCAAGTTTCAGGTATCTGCCAGAGACGTAAGCCATAGAAAAAAATTTCCTTTCTGATTTTGTTGGAAAAATAAAAAACAGTGATAAATAATAGTTTGGGATTTTAGTGGCGTATCAATACCTGGCTGAACTCATGAAGTGATCTGCCTTTAGTATTATTTAGTGCTATGAAAATCTCTAATAATTTATGAACCCTAGCACAATTGTTAACAGTATTACTGCTCACTTGTTTGTCTCTAGCCATGTCATCAGTAAAAACTCTCTTTGTGAATTGCTTGAGCCTGGAAGGTGAAGGTTACCGTTAACTGAGATCAAGCTGCACTCCAGTCCAAGCGACAGACCAAGACTCCATTTCAAAAAAAAAAAAAACAGAAAACAAATAAACAAAAAACTTCTCTTCTTACAGTACTCAACATTGTATTTGGACTCTTAATTGAGTGAGCTTTTTTGGAACTGCTGTCTATTACAATTTATTTTTAAATAGTCAATATGAACAATGCTATCAAAAATGTACAAAATTCGAAGTCTTCTACATAGATGTCTGTTTTGTTATTTTTTTTCTAAAATAAAGATTGAAAATAGAAATTTTTGAAACTTGTCAATATATACATTACCTGCTTTCCAGTTCTAGCCTGTACCTTTTTCTATTGTTAATGGATCTTATCTGCTACCCATGCAGGAAAGAAGACCTCCTTACTCCCACAATTGTGGCTGCCACTTGAAAGTAATCAAAATTTTCTGGAATCTGTAATAGCCTCAGACTTTTGAATGACAGAAAATGAAAGGAGACCCTGGGAAGAAAACAAGGAGCCCTGGTGTTCTAGGGAATGACAAGGCTCTCTTCTGCTTCAGTCATCTCATTGTCCTACATGAATCCCATGGTTCCTGCCCTTGTTAGAATTCCCTTATAAAATGATTTAGAATTCCTCCTAAGAGTGACTTTTGAAAACATATTTTAATCATTCAGGGTCTATCATTCCCTCATGATTGTCATTTCCTTCTACATTTTGCCTCTTCCTGAGGGAGACTATCTAAACTAGTGACTGCAGCATTTTATCTAAAACTAGAGAGACTCAAACTTGTCCTAACAAATGTCAAATGTTTTTTGTTCAATGTTTTAGCATTGCAATAACATAAGTAAAATATTAGAGAGTTAGATTTTATTTTTTTCTGATATTACTGCATTTCCCAAAAGGTCTTTACATGAAGTTAGGATTTTATATGGCTATTGGGAATATCCCTATTGGATCTGATAGCCACAAATATTAGTGTTTGTCTGTAACTGCATTAATGTCTAAGCACTTATAACTTACACACATCCATGCACTCATTTATATTACACACATTTATTGAAGTTTCACTATGTTTCAGGAACTGAGGCCACAGATGAAAAATCAGAATTAGAAAGAAAAATGTTTCTCCAGTTTTATGAGAACAAGAAATAGAGACAACACAGAAAGGAAGAAAGGAATAGAATGAAATAAGCTAACATATCAAACACACACACACACATATACACACCTATAACTCTCTCTCTCTCTCTCTCTCTATCTCTCTCTCTCTCACAAGATCTTCCTGCTTTGAAATAGCTGTGACCTTATTGTCACCTGCCTCTCACCCAGTGTCCAGTACACTCTATTCTCCCACGTTAAGTGCCTCCTCTCTACCCTGTCACAGCATAAAGCATTCAGCTTGGCAACCCCTGTGGCCACTTGTTAAGTCACAATGCAGACCAAGTGGCTGAGATCCGGAGCAAAGGAAGTGGACAGTTCTCAGGCACCTCAGCTAAATTGCTGTAGTCGCATGTCTGTTAATACAATGCTCTTGATTCCTGCCCTGTGATGATCACCTGGGAGGGATCAAGGCAATCAGCATTATACTGCTAAAATATTGCTGCTTGAAACTGTCATCATTTCACATTCACAGGAAACACCTTACAAAGGTACAAGTATTAAAATGGGGACCTTGAAGACCTATGCTTGAGAAAGATAGTAATAAGTAAGCATGTAGGTTTTCTTAAGTGCAATTTTTATGTTTATGAAGATTTTTACCCTTTCTAATAAGAAACTTTAGGGATCTTTGTACTACTATTGTATAGAATACATGTCAATTAAAATAGGAATACTGTATTAACATAAGTCTCAACATTATCTTTTGCTAGAAGGGAAATTAAGCCCTTCACTCAAATACCCAAAGGTGAAATGACTTCAACTCATAGGTCATTTGGAAGAGCTCACTTAGGAACTTGAGAAAGGCATTTAATATTAAACTTAGAAGTACTTTCTCAAGAATAAATCACTAATAGGAATCCTTCCTTCCATCATACTGGATTACTTCTTACAAATTAGTGCAATGCTCTCAATTCTTTTTGCTTTGACTTTTTAAAAGTATTATTAATGTAGCATTATTCACTTCTGACTGATATCCCACCTAGTCTTAAGAAGTGAATCAAATTTCAGGTATTACTGATATATTAAACACAAGTTCATCATAATGGTATGATTGAGAACTAGGTACATGAAGTAACCACCTTTTATTCATCAATTTTGTAAAAGCATCTTTTAACCTAGGGTTGTATCTGGGACTTTTATACAAAGTCAATTTTAAAACTGCAATGTATTTCTCCAGAGAACTTGCAACCAAACATATGCCAAGATCCTCAGGGAGAGTTTAAACCATTTTAGAAATGTTACTAAAAATTTAGAGGATGGCAATTGTTAAGATGAAACAGTTTGGTTGTTAAGATGAAACATTTTGAAGATTAATTTTTTTCCTCCCCCTCATCATCTGATGATCTGATGTCACATAGAGTTAGTCAAAAGAAAAAAACTCAGAGAACGTAACTTTATGTGCACTGAACACATGTACTTTACTAAGAAAGTAAATCATAAAACTTGCAAATTTCTTGAAGCCCTAAAATCAATCAAGGGAAAAGAAACAAATGATGATCTTAAATTTGAATCTTTTAATAACATTTCTTGTTTTTGAAAGAATGGCATTATAGCATCTACTGCTGACTCTCTGTTATACTCAAAAAATGTATAATGCCATGATAATTAAAATATATTTATTGGTTATCAGTTTACATATAATGCTCCTGTAGGCACTGGATAAAAAGAACTACTCGGGTAGTTTACTATCAGAACGGATGACACTTACTGAAGAAATCAGCCTTTGTTATGTGGCACAATAATCAAAAAGAAGCAGATAGTAAAATATGACCATGAACTCATTTAAAGATCAATGATACAATTGTGGGGGTTATAAAAAGTTTGGCTGAATATGAGTAGAAGTGTAAGGACAAAGAAGGTGTCAGCTCTCCTCTGGTCACTATACAAAGACTTCCTGGAAGATATAGGTCTTCCAAAAACATCAGGTTGAAGCAAGGTGACAAAGCGGTTTGATTACAGAGTTGGCCTAGCAGGATCCTGGAAGTGCAAGTGGATGGCAGAATGGAGGACATCTGGGAGGTCATGGCTGAAGATATGGGAAGGGGTACACAGCAAAACAGACAATGAAGCCAAAGCTGGTGGCCAGAATAATTTGAGTGCTTACCACCAATTTTATAGCTTTTCCCAAGTCCTGAGGCCAAGAAAAAGTCAAACTCACTCTTAGTTTTGAATCAAGAAACAGAACTGAAATAATATAAATAAAAAATAAATCTGAGAACTAGATACATAGACAGTTGCTCTTCTAAAACCATAAAATTTAGTGTGGAAAATATACAAACTACAGGCAGAACGGTGATTAATATATGAGGTATAAAGAGTAATTCTAATAAAATAGAAATGTACAAGATATTAAAATGCTAATTTGTACCTATTATTCAGTATTTCCACTGAAAGTGAAAAACACCCAAGTTAGCGGCGATAGAAAAATAGAAAACATTTGTCTGGTTGTTTATAATTCTATATAATACCTCCCCTAAATATTGACAGTCGATGCTAAACTAAAATAGCACCCAAACCTAACAGACAAGTCTCTATTGATTTAAACTGAATTACTCATTCTAGGTTTTTAAAAATAATATATTAGTGTATAATTTTTTAGTTATAAATGATAGTTTGATAGACAAATTAGTGTGATAGTGATAGTTTGATACATTGTATACAATGTATAATTGTCAAATCAGGATAATTAGAGTACCTATGACTTCAGACATTTATCTTTTGTATTAGGAATATTAGACCCCTTATATTTTATCTATTTTGAAATATACAATAAATTATTAACTATAATTTTCATACTGTGCTATTAAATACTAGAATTTATTCCTTCTAGCTAACTATAATTTTGTACCCATTAACCATTTTATCTTTATCTCTGCCTCCCTGCTGCCCTTCTCAGCCTCTGGTAACCATCATTTTACTCCTTATCACTATGAGTTCAATTTTTTTTTAGCTCCCATGTATGAGCGAGAACATGAGATATTTGTCTTTCTGTGCCTGATTTATTTCACTTAACATAATGTCCTCCACTTTCATCCTTGCTGTAGCAAATGATACGATGTGATTCTTTTCTATGGCTAAATAATATTCCATTACACACACATACACACACACACACACATTATACACAAGCGTATATGTATATATACACACTGTATATATCACACTTTCTTTAACCATTTATCCATTCATGGACAGTTAGGTCAATTCCATATTTTGGCTATTGTGAATAGTGCTGCAATAAAACATGGGAATGCACATATCTCTTTGATATACTGATTTCTTTTCTTTCGGATATATATTCAGTAGTGGGATTGGTGGATTATATGGTAGTTCTATTTTTAGTTTTTTGTCTTCCGTAATAGCTACACTACTTTACATCTCTACCAACAACATACAAGCCTTCGTTTTTCTCCTAATCCTCACCAGCATTGTTATTTTTTTGTCCTTTTGCTGGTAACTATTCCAACTGGGTGATGACATCTCACTGTGGTTTTGATTTGCATTTTTCTGATGATTAGTGATGCTGAGCAGTTTTTCATATACCTGTATGTCTTCTTTTGAAAAATGCTTATTCAGGTCTTTTGTCCATTTTTAAATAAAAAAAAATCTTTTGTTATTAAGCTACTTGAGTTTCTTATACATTCTGGTAACTAATCCCTGTCAGGAGGATGGCTTACAAATATTTTTTGTCAAATTCTGTAGGATGTCTCTTCTCTTTATTGTTTCTTTGCTATGTGGAAGATTTTTAACTTGATATAATCCCATTTGTCTATTTTTGCTTTTGTTGCCTGTGCTTTTTGAGGTCTTACCAAAAATATCTTTTACCAGACCAATGTATTGGAGAGTTTCCCCCATGTTTTTTTCTAATAGTTTCATAGTTTCAAGTCTTACATTTAAGTCTCCAATCCATTCTAAGTTGATGTTTATATATGGTGAAAGATGAGAATCTAATTTCATTCTTCTTCATATAAAAATCCAGTTTTCCCAGCAAGATTTAAGAAACTGTTCTTTCTCCAGTGTATGTTCTTAGTGTCTTTGTCAAAAATGAGTTGACTACAAGTGTGTGGATTTATTTCTGGCTTCCATGTAGGTTTATCACCCCTTTATCAAAGTATTCAGTTTTTAATGCACTTTTTCATTCAACAGACATTTTGTATGTGAAAAAGTCTTCTAATTTATACAGATTATTTTTAGGGCAAAAAAAAAAGGAAAAAATCTAGATATCTATAACAGCAAATAATTTTTCATGAAACATTCTATAATTCCTTTCCTCTCTGTAGTCTTCCCTCATATATTCATATACATACACTGAATAATTGAAAAACCAAGTCAAATTGGCTTTCTTAAATTGCAGACCAACTCACTACAAAGAGCTACAACTCTCCCTTCTTTTATTTCAAGTGTTTTTGAAATAGATTTTAAAAATGTCAATTAGTTTGGTCTTGAGAAAGAAAAACAAAACAACAAAAAAAAATTTAAAAAGAAAAAATTCTGACAATATGAATGTATTTCTTGTCGATTAATATGCATTATAAAGTTGTTTATTCAGGGAACTTACTACATATTAACTTTTCTGAAATCATGAGTAAAAACGTGAACCATAGTTGAGAAATAGTCTCTCCTCAAAACAAATGTTTTGGGGATGGGGCAGAGAAACCCCATATTTGTTGTTTGCTTAAATAAACAATAAAATTCAAAAGGATTGTAGGTCATATGCTTAAGGCAGCGATACAAGGTGAAGTGTGGTGTTCTGGGGACTACTAGTAACACGAATAGTGTGAATGTTGAAGTCAGGAAATATTTGTACTGCCTTTGCCTATTCCTCTTCTCTTTTTGTCTTTGATGGATATACAATAATTATATTTTATAAGAATGCCAGTAGTGACGGAAGTACTTCTCCTAATGCAGAGGCTGTAAAGCTATCAGAAGAGCTTTAAGCAAATGTTATCTGTTTTACAGAAGAAATCAATTACCCGCAGATTGCTTAAACCAGTGACAGGCATGGTAAGGAATAAAATGTGCTAAGTAGAAAAGTTACAGCCATCAACATGTAAGGAATTACATGATATATGAAACCAATCACTTGTTCAATTTACCTTCAAAACTAAAACAAGTTCTTCTGCATTGGAAATAAACATGAACCTCTCTCTGAAAAGGGAACAATTTCTAACTCGATGGAAAAAGTACTGTATAAATTTTATCCAGCAATAGTGTTATTAGGAGCATACAACCAGGTTTTCAGAGATAAAGTATGTGAACTACTTAACATACTTATTTCAAAGTAGACATCAGTTTGTCTTCATCTTTCTGTAGTTCAGCATTATGTAATTTTCCAGATATGCTTAGAATAAAACGAGTCTGCCAGAAAATGCTCTATACTTTATATCATGCCTTATATTCATATCAAACTGCAAATTTTACTACTCCATTAAAACTATCCTAATATGTTTAAGTTCTAATATTAATTGTTCTCTGTTGATATCAGACATTTTATTATCTATCATTAGCAAAAACAAATCCAGAGGTGGACATTTTTTTTTTCTGCTTAAAGAAGAAAAATGTATCAAAGAAGCCCTGACAGTTCTGATGCAGGACATCATGGTCTAGATACTCATCAAAACTGTTAATTACTCAGGTGGAGCTGACATCTTGCTCATGAAACAAGGTCACAATTTTTAGTTCTTTTTCCTATCAGTCCTCCAGGAATTTTTGCATCATATAAATGAATTTTAAAAATGAATTAATTCAAATCACATGTAACATAAAAAAGTGATTTCTTAATATTGCAAAAACAGAATCATTTTACCAGATGTGCTGTTGGAGACATCACAACATAACCGTCATATTTCTGTGAGTGTCATTGTGTGCAATGACAGCCATGACGAGCAATACCTGTCTAATGAAGAACTTATGTTTTTCTTTTTACTTTCTTCCTTTTTTTAAACTGAGAAGTGTTTAGAAGAATTTGATCACATGATCTTTTAATAGAATCAGAAGTAATATACCAGCTGGTGCATATTATTCTTTTATGATATTCTGAGGGAAAGTTCTATACTGATTTAATTTTCTTGGGAATAAAATATGTATATTCAGATTTCATGCAAGTCAATCGTCCTTAATGGACAAATGTTAATGATAAATTTAAAATACAACATTTTTGGAACATTTGTAAGTTAAAAATTTTAAGAAGAGTCATACAAGTCATTTTTTATCCACTCTAACACAGAAAACAATATTGGGAAAATTCCCCAATGAAAGGTGCTGCTATCGCTTTTCCTCTGCAAAATTATCAGGTTGATATAATGGTGATGTCCTACTGATTATTCACCACAGACCTTCCAGCAGGATAATGCATTCTTAAAATATGAACTTGAAGCTAAAATATTAAATATGCATTCCCTCCTCCTATAGGACATGTTGAAATGCCACATGCTGTTGGTGAGAATGACCCATAAGTGTTGGATTTTCTCCCCCTTGCTCCTCTTTTCCAGAAACAGTTAGTGTGGCGTGCAGTGAACCAAATCAACAATGTGATTCAAGCTGTCTCCGTAGCTTCTTGGCAAAAGAAAGGATAAACTATAAAAACTCCCCTCCTACAGCTTTCAGCTCTTGCTTCCCACACTTTAACATCTTCTGTCACCTCTGGCGCTGTTACTGACCCATGCTAAGCTAAACTAAAGGATGATAAGTTTGCTGCCTCTGCCCTTGTCCTGAGGGGCTGCACATTATCCTATCAAGTATCAGTAGCCATTTCTGTGGGATATTTGTCACCCCACGAAGGTCTTTGGAACAAATGAAATGGGCAGCGAATTACAAAAATGTCATTCTCTAAAGGAAATGGATGAAGGCTTTTGTTCTCCAGTAATAAATAGATGCCATAGGCTTATAACACTATTTTTATATTAAATTTGACAGGGTTACTATTTCTAGCTAATTAAGGGAACAGCTTGAAAACTATTTCTTTCTGTACTTTTAAAAATAATGCTGCTTCCCCCTTTTCTTCCTACTAATAAATATAAACAGTACCTGGCAATAGATCCTGAAAATCATAGATCATGATTAATTTCAAGTTACTTTTGCTAATGTTTGTTTTAAAAACATACAAAAACCATTTTTAGGGAGAGATTTTGAGAATATAAATGAATTATGTAAGAGGTATCTATGAATGCATTTTAAAAGTATGATTTATACCTATTTCTTCTTTCTTTATAAATCACAAATATATTACTTCCTTTTCTCACTTTTCTCACACATTATGGTTTTACAGGGCACCATGATAAATACGCCATGGACAAAGGTCAAGCAAAGGATAATAACTCAATTCCTTAACTAAAGGCTTCAAAGCAAATCCTCTGTGTTTAACAGCAGTATGCAGGGGTCAAGATGACAATGTCCCAGACTTGACAATAAAATGTGTGTTAATATCTTTCAGCCTCAGTACATTTGTTAAATGGGTATGCCTGGACTGACATACTTAGGTTTTCTTTGAAGTAGAACTTGAGGAAGATACATAATATATAATAAAAAATTAAATAGCACCACATATTTTTAAATAGGCTTGGATTGTGTAGTTTATCAGGTTGAGCTGAATATTTTCATGGTAGTTATAAAATATTTCCAATAAAAATCGGCATATTTCTTCTATACGTTTACCTACACAATGATTTTGGAATTGAGCTACCTTTACTTACTACACTTATTTTGCTAAATAAAATTTGTAAGATAAGTGTTAAAAATAATTCACTGAAATTTTTCAGTGATAGTTAATTTGGCCCATTAATGTATTGATGAAGACTGTTAATAGTTGTGAAAATTATTTAATAGTGAAACAAATGATCTAGACTCAGATTTTCTGGTTTTACATCTTAAATCATAGCATTTGGGTTGACATATAATACTGAATGTCTTGAGTTTAATCAGTATATGTTTACATTTTTACAGAATTGATTAGCAAAAAGAGTAAAAACTATTCAAACCAATTCTAATTTTCAAATTTTTAATTTTTCTTTCTTAACATGAGAATACATGCCTAGCTTTGTGAACTCCCTGATTGTACAAGCTGTGATAAGGGCACTAAGAAAGCCAAAAGTTCTTCAAATAATATCTAAGCATGTCAGTCCACCTCTATCCCTTTAACAGGGATAGATTGAGGCTCAAGGGTACTAATGTACATTTTAATTTCTAGCCAGATCACTGTCATCTTGACTCCTGTATACTGCTGTGAACCACCCAATACCCATCCTCTAGTGTCTCACTTCTGACAAATGAGTATGCAATTCTTGAAACTAACAACTCTTTTTCCTTAAACATTTAACTTCCTTGGCCAATTCTAGTTAGTGATTCTTCCACAATAAGAGAGGGTAACATGTTTGAAAAATATATAAGAAGAAAACTATAAGAACAATATCTATTTGAAGAATAAATTACTCAAAAAAATAAAGTCTAAAGAGGAAAACTCCATTTTTCTTTACAAGTGGAAAATGATGACTGGTATCCCCATGTTTATGTCACACAAGTAATTGCTAAATGGAATATGGTAGATTAAAAAGACTTTTATTAATTGAAAAAGTGTTAAAACACTGTAGTTGGTTATTCAGAAAGTTTGAGTGATTTCTTTTCTGTTGATCTTTAAAAATAGAGCAGGCTTCATTGTATATGATTTTATATGTTCTGTCCCATCCATAGGAAATGAAATGTAGAGTACATAGGATCATTTCGTCATCTCAATACTTGTTTAAAATTTGGCTTCTGTGTTTACCTCACTCTTCAATTCAAGACATTTCTCAAAGGCCACCAGTTTTCTCTTATCCCATATAAAGAGCATTTTAAAATAAATGGATTTTTATATTCTTGATTTATATTCTTTAATGTAATCAACAGGCTGTTGATTACATTAAAACTCAGTTTAAAACTGAGCTTTTTATTTCCCGATATACCTTCCTTCTGATTTCCTTTGTTACACAATAGGAGGCAGTAAATAGAAACCCAGAGTACATCAGTGGTATTGTGGGAAAGATCATAGGAAAGAATGCTATACTTTCTTCTAAGGAAAAAACAAATGACAATAAGCAAAAAGAAATGAG